TCACTCAACACCACGTCTGAGAGTGGACCGGAATAAAAAAACACCACAACAACAACAAAACACTGGAACAAAGCACCGCGTAGATGTTGGTGATGTCATCGCAGAGCCGGGCTGTGCACGACAGGCCGTGATGACAACAACCTTCATCCTCCAACCCACGATGACTCATTCCAGTGTTTCACCCGAGAGAATGGACAGTCATTATATAGCTCGGGGTTGGATGTGGAGGTGTTATGTGCAGTCAGGATAGGCTGGACGTTCCTGATGATTGAAATTGTTGCGTCTCTGTAAAGAATATTATAAAGAGTACAGCCTAGACCGTGCCCTGAGATAGCTTCTGTTATGATTTGTACTATATGAATAACATGTTACTGAAAAACAAAAACTTCCAAAAGGTCAGGTGGCACGACTCTAGAAAGAACAGCCACATTATATATCTCTCTCATGGAATAAATAGATGTGAGCACAAGACAAACGCACAAAAATATAGGGCCAATAAACTGATACTAAACAAGTAGTCAAAGTAAAGAAGGAACATGGGCTTGTGGTTCACTGTGATATACTCCTATAAAATCAACCACAACCCCATTATTATTATTATGAACAGCTAGAGATTGCGCTAATGTGTGCCATTGTGACGACCTCTGTGTGCCCAACTGTGTCTATTAAAAAAAAAAAAAAACCCTAACAAAATAATCTAGGTTAGCATGCTTAAGATCTTTTAGATTTCATAGGCAGTGTGAACAATTATTTTGTGAGTTACCCAAACAACAAAATGAACAGGTGGCTGGTAATGGTATTTAAACCCGCATCGCAACCCTGTACTCGTTTCTGCTGTTCACAAACAACAGAATGACAAGTCTGTTGGGTCATAAACAATTAAGTAAAATACTGATCGGGATCTGTCAGTGGCGGTCAAGCACAGATGAAAGGAGGATAACCAATTTTTCATCCACATGTAGCCTAATTAAAAACTTGATTAGTTATACATTATTATAGGTCTAATATCGTTATAATATCTATTATTTTTCTATTTGTAATACTAACTAGGTGTATAGCTTCCACAGTATTGTTTATTGTAACAAAAGGACTCATTGGGCTGTTTGACGCCCCCTCAGGCAATCCTGGCTCAAATGCTGGACACCTTTATCGTTAGCCACACACACTTACACACCACAAATATTTTCTCCCACTGCATAACAACAGGACTACCTGCCACTGCCCACTTTAATTTATTGAAACAAACATCATTTCTCAGTGTTTTGCTGTCAATCTTCTGCTCCAGGTTAATTCCAGCAAGCAGTCAGAAACTGTGTCAGACAATTCCATTAGCTTCCATTGCTAGCGTGATTGACACATGCAACATCTGGCGGCATGATGACTGTCAACAATCACTTCTCACCTGTCATTTATCCAAATGATATTTAAATGTATTGTTCTGTTTTCGCTGTAAGACCTTACCAAATGGTTTCTTTTTAAATGAATTTGACAGACTGAGTCTTGTTCGCTTCCATTTGACTAAAGTAAATGAATAGACGTCTCTAGGAACAAACAGAGCAAATCACCTCACAGCTGGATGTTTCGGCTGCGACATTCAAAGAGTTCACAGTACATTGAAAAACACAGCATGGTTGGGCAAGACTGGAAAAATAGGTGATTCAATGAGGGTAGATTTATTTTTTATGCCACTTCGTCAAAAAATAATAGCTGCCAAACTCCTCACTGTAAACAACCCAAATTAAATCTCTCTCTCATAAAAGCTCTCTTTACTAAAATGCTCTCTCTCCCTACTGCCGTCACAGTGTAGTGATGACTGAACAATCACTGAAGTTATGGTGACATCTGTGCATTTCTGTAATCCCTTGTGCAATACTGAGAATAACAATTTCCCCAAAAATATTTAAACACAGGTTTAATCTTCCAACTGTCAAACTGTAAAAACAATTCAGTAATGTTGATATATATATATATATATATATATATATATATATATATAAATAAATAAAAAATCACCCTGGGAGTTTGAGGGTTCTGCACAGTATCTTAGCTGTTCCTAGGACTGCACAGAGACCTCTGATGTTTTACACTACACTACGCCAGCTACCTGGTTACACACTTACACACTTCCTGCCTGCATCTTACACCCTGCTGTTATGTGCTGCACTGTCTCAGGGGCATCCTTGCACAGTCTGCACCCGGGGTCCTGCCTGGTGTGATAGACCTCAGCCTCTATTGATCTTGTACTGAGTGCCTGTTCTTGTGCCGCCATGATTAGTGCTTCTGTGCTGTTCTTTAGTCCAGCCTTTTCCCAGCCATTGGTAGGATTTCTTGATATTAGCCACTTCTTCTTTTTGTCTGTTGTACATGCCGTGCAACGGCTTGTCTCTCCATGAAGGTTCTTCCTTGTCCTCACCCTCGGGTTTCTGCTGGCTGAGGTATTCACTAAGCAGTTCATCTTTGGGGGCCATCTTCCTGATGTACTCTTGGATCTTTGTTGTTTCATCCTGGACAGTAGTCTTGACACTCACTAGCCCTCGGCCTCCCTTGCTACGCTTTGTGTACAGTCTCAGCGTGCTGGATTTGGGGTGAAACCCTCCATGCATTGTGAGGAGCTTTCTTGTCTTAATGTCCTTTGGCCAGTTTATTATACCAGCAGGGTATCTGATGACTGGCAGCGCATGTGTGTCGATGGCTTGGATCTTGTTCTTCTTAGCTGACTTTTCAGGACCTGCCTTACTCTCTGTAGGCATTTGGTATATCTCAGGGATTTTAAATAGGCATCCTTTATATTCACTACTTCCTTTTGTTGCACTGACGGTAACAGTCTATTTGTTTGAGCAAGCAAAGAAATGTATCTAATCCACGTTAAACTGTTTCATTTTATGTAGGTGGGTTAATTGCATATATTAATTTCTTATACATTAATAACACCTATTTTTGGCTGTATTCCCCACGCACAATACACTACCCAACCGTCTGTGTGTGTGATTTGAAATGTGACAGTTTACTTTTATCACACAACACTTTGATGGTTCAGCCACCAATAAAATATGAGCCGGTTGTCATTCCAAATTATATAACATTATCTGTGATTTGGCAGATCACAAGTGGAAACCATGTGAAGAACAAACATGAGCCTCATTTTTATTCACATGGAAAGAGCAAGAGTGCGTGGCTTTGCGAGCGAAGCCAAGTTTATACCCAGAGGAATAGCTGTAACGGGTATGACGGGGGGGGGGGGGGGGGGGGTTAACTGCACTCTGATCAAAATCTCTTACATCTTTTACGGATTGGGGGCTCCACGGTTGATCAAGGAACATTTAGACATAATAGGTCATCCCAGTATGAAGGGAAGGAAATGTCGTCTAATGAACAAGATATTTCAGCGCGCACACACACACACAGTAAGACTGGGTGACAGCTTTACTTAGTAAAGCAGTAAACCTAACACTAAGCTTTTCAATTAATGGGCCCACCTGTGGGGAGTGAGTGTGTAGACCTGTCAGAGGACTGAGACTGTACACTGGTGAACAGGTGCATTGAATTACAGCTTGGCAAATCTGCGTCAGGGACTGTTTATCTGAATGTAACTAATAGTAGAAATATTGTATCGTATAAACAACATTGGCAAATAAACTGTGATGTGGATTCTGTAGATCTGTAATGTAATGCTGATTGGTCAAGTCATGGCCAATCCCAAAGATGCTTAATAAGGTCAGCATGAACACAGTTGTCTACTGTGTCTACTGTGTACTACTGTGGATATGTGCTGCCCAAATCTGCAAAAAGCAACATGACAGAAATTATGAAGGGTTTGCATTCAGGTCTGATCAGCTTATAGGAAAGTTAGTGACTTTGCAGTGACTTTGAAGAAAATTCACAGCATGGTCTCCCAATATTAAACCTAGGCCTATAAGACATATTACTGTATATGAGACGTTCTGTTATTTGACACAATAACAGAAGAAACTATAAAACTAAGGAGATGATCTACATTGCCCTACATTTTAAAGAGCATTCCCCTGTTTGAACTATGTCACTGGAGTATGTCACTGTATGTGCCATGTATGATCCTCTTCCTGTTTAGATATATCTTCTGACTTCACTAAAAGGTACCTAATGCAGGGCAGGACAAGATCAAGGATCCACCCCCCAATTAAAGCACAATGTGTTGACTCCTGAGGAGCGTGGCTGTTTACAGTCCGGGGCTCAAGTTGACATCCTGAATAAAAAGAACCACGCCTGACTTTTTACAGCAGTTACAGGCCTGCTGCAGCGACAGGATACAGGTCAGGTCCTATGCTACAGCGCTGTATATGCGCGTCTCCCCTGCACGCAGAGCCGTGGTCTGCTGGTCTCGGGGGGAGGAGGAGTCATCACCAGGGGTAACGTTACGCCTACATCACGGCGTCGCACAATCAAAGTCTATAAACAACGTCGGACTCCAAAAGTTGCACTCAAACCTACGCACCGCTGAACGTGAGCGGGTACACCGGCGGCGGTGCGGAGTTTAACAGCCGTTTCCACCGGCCAACCCGAGATGTGACAGGGGGGGCGCGGAGAAACACTCAGCCCCAAAATGTTCCCCCTCTCGCCATCGACGTAACAACATGTCGGCAAAGGACGGCCATGTTTTGCTGGTTATGTCGACACGGGGAGGAGGAAAAGTAGACACGATGTTTCTCCTCTCTGCCTTCACCCACCACGGCCACGACGTATCAAAGTGAAACTTAAACAGTGGGGGGGAAAACGTCCAATTAACAACTTGGCGGACACATAGGCTCAGCACGCAGGTGTAAATGGCAGGGGCAGACAAAGTTCATGCGGCTAGACAAGTTAAAATATTTATACACAGGCGTGTGTGTTATAGGGAACCACGCGAAGGCAGGTCAAGCCACGGGAGACGCACAAAATAACAACTACATGCAGTTTTAACTTGGGGGCACTTTTTGAGGGGCGAGCCGTTTGAAAAGCAGAGCAAGAGTTGAGCCATTTCTTACCTGCCCACCGTTTTGGCGCGATGCTCAGGTAGTGCGGTACAATCCCAAAGCGACTGCTAGACGAATAAATAACCCCAAATGCTTTTTAAACCGACTCGCGGCGGTCCAATAACCGAGCAGACAACAGGCGACAGGAAAGAAAAAATTGACGATCACAAGGAGGATCTACGCCAAAAGCCACATGATCGCCGACGTCAGAGTACGTATTTGCATGCCGTACCGGAGCGCCGGTGTCCGTCCATAGCGGGTCCATAGTGTTATGGCCGTGAAAAGTTCAGAAACAGGCTGAGGAAAGTGAAACAACTCTCTGTCCAGGGGTCAGGAGGAGTTCTGGTGGCCCCACGAAGCGTGTCTGCTGATGTAAAAATGAATGAACTGCGTCTTGTTTCCGTCAACTTGTCCCTGTGCTGATGCCTGCCTGCCTCTTGGCTTGGAGCTAATTGAATATTAAAGTAGCAGTGGGGGCGTTTGTTGCCCCAAAAGTCCCACCCACTCGCTTGTCACCCCGCCCACCCCTCTTTCTCTCTCCTCCATCCCCCTGTATGCATGTGCATTTGAGGTGAGGTGTGCAGTTGCTGCAGTGCTTTCTCAACTGGCAGCTGCGGGAAACTGCACACCCCCGGCCTTTCATCACACACACAAAACACATCTGGATCCACAAAGGTTAGTCTGAGGTCAACTGATACTCGGGTTATATTGGTGAGAGACATTGCCCTGAAGTAACACAGACAGTTTGGTGAGCTCCCACACAACAGTGACCTCCACTGGATCCACTTAAGAAGTGATTCTGACCTTGACCTATGCACGTTTCGCAGATGTGAAACGTGCATAGGTGTGTAGTGCAGTGATGAGGCCTTCTGGTATTCACAAAACCCATGTGACATTCATGAATTCAAAATATTATCAGACCACAGAGAGTGTTATTTTAATGAAGTGGGATGTCTGTTTTCACCTGCCCTTCTGCACTGGGAGGCCAGCATGCAGGCTCATTTACAGCGCGGTGACCTTGGACTCGGAAGATTTTTATTATTTTGCTCAGGGTGGAGGTTTTTGACATGTGGCCTGAATTTTGGCTGCAGTCTCTGGTTGACACTGTCTTTCTTTCTAGCTCTTAGGGGAGCTCAAGCACCATTATTGCTTTGCATATATAGGCAGGTCAGTAAAAAAAACAAACAAATCAGCTGAGTTCCCTCAGTTTCTGAGACAGTGCATTTTTTCTAGACATTTGAGTGTGGATGTTTTATCTTAGAGATATCTTAGTATGTCACTTCCATTAAGTTGGTGAACTTGTGAAAGACAATTGAGATCTTAAAAATGTATGGCTTAGATCAGCGCTGCAGAGGCTCATATGCTGACTTTTTAGTCCCTACAAAAACACTGGATCCTACAATTCCCATGATGCACATCTTTTGTTAGATCCTCCCTGTCTGGTAAACGCCTTGCCTCAGTTAAAAACACCAATAACCCCGATGGCATCATGTGGGTTAAATTGACCTTGATGTGAAAACTTGGGGAGTGCCCCTTTAAGTTCAGATGGATCTGTGAATTATACATTCTGCTGTATCTGTATGTGGGCCTTTAAAGCATGCCTTTTGTGTCAAGTTTATACATTTTCCCAATATTTGTTTCCTATGGACGCACCGGTTTCAGCTAACGCCACAAGACCTGCATAAGGTATTTTAAGAATACTCCTACCCCAGAGAACTGGTGTCGATCCATTGCAGAAACCTGAATTTAACAAAGTGCACAGTCATCTCCCCTGCAATGTCTCTCTTATTTAATTATTATTAGCTTAGTTATCCATCTCCGGCTGCTGTGAGGTTTGGATTCATTTAAAATACTACACCTTTTTGACCTAAAATAATTTTTAACATGAAGAATGGTTCCAGCATTGGGAATATCAGCTGCCCATCTCAATACTGAGCATCAGAGAAAATGCTCTTTGTATAGTAATAGCAGATTTTTAGCCTTTATTTATCTAATACTACTTGTTCAGTTTGTGAAGAGTAAATGTAGTGTAGCTGTCCCTGATAGCATAAGCCAAACTGAATATGTTGTTGATATTCTGCATGAGTATTTTTAATGCTACTTGCTCTCAGACCAGAACATCAAGACAAATTCCCCTGTTTAGATGAAAACAAATATAAAAAGGACTGATAAATTGCATCTCTCCAACAATATTATGAAGGGGAATGGCTGAAACATCAGAACATAGTTAAGATCAAGACCAACCTTCCTCTGAAGGACTATTTTATCTCCAGAATCTATTACTATGTTTTTGATTCAACGTTTCACGTCGCCTTTGTCCCCAGGTTGAAACCTCCTATCAAAGTTAAGAATTATTAATATTCAGGTCTCTTTTTTGGTGACAAAAAATAATAGAAAAAAGACTTTGATGAAGTTGTCCACCTATCTGCTCTGATCCTTTCCTTCATGAGCTATTTGAATGATCCGTTTATCTCTTAAAGTTGGACGTCCTGCTAGTTAATCAATTGAGTCAATTCAATTGAGTCTTGATACCTTATCTCCAATAAAACTTTTATTTATCAGTGTTTCTACTTTATAAAGTTAGAAAACATTTAAAAAAACAAAACCACAAGGACAAGATGTGCCAGTACACATAATGACTAAAGTTACACTGCATAATGTGGAGATTTGTTTTGGAAACATAAAAGTGTCTTTGGTTTTCTACATGGACATTGTTAGCTGAAGGCATTTGGGCCAATTCTGAGGCTTGGATGGGCATGAAACTCTCCAGGTTAAATCATCAGTACAAAAGATGAACAATTGTGTTAGAAAATATCTGGTTCTCTGATAAAAAGTCAAAGATACAAGCCTATTTGCTAGAGTAATTAGCTATGACTCCTGAGGTGCACTGTGGTGTGAAACATCACCATTAAAATTTTGTTGTGTACTCTGCCAACAGCGAGCTAAAGCTTAACTTTACGTTTTGTACAGACCCCAGAATATATTCAAGAGCATAAATCAATTTGTTCTCTGGGTCATTTGGATGACAATGGCACATTGTTTTGTTCTGATTCACCCCACTGACTTGCTTCTTCTTCATAGCAATGGTGGCTCATGTATATTGTAATGTTAAGAGCTATCAATAGCGAACTGGCAGAAAGTTGAAAAAATTACAATTGATGACCATAACATATGCTTATCTACCATGACATAATCCAGCAGACCCATTGTCACTATGTTGAGGCTCACAGATAGCTCTAATAGGGTGGGAATCAGTGTTCATATATATTATTATATTTGATATATGGTAAAATATAGATGACTGATTACTGTGAAACCAAAGGCTTGCTGCAGAATAATGAAACAGTTTAAATCAATATAAACAGAGTATTCTGCATATAAACAAACTTTTCCCCCACCAATGAATATCACACAGACAGTGAATTCTTTATCAATTTCTAAAGAGCAAGACCTTTTCTGAGGATAAATGTGATTCAAATAAAAGGTCACTAGATGGTGCCAACTGGCTGTATATTCACTCCTGTGTAGACCTCCTAAAGCTGCTATGGGACTGAACTGAACTGGCTGTATGCTTGTTATTTGAAGTGCATATATGATGGAAGTGCTACCAGTTTTCAGTGCATCTAATAACTTGTTTAGATTTGTGTGTTGGGACAGACTCGCTGTCACTGAGGGTAATTCAAATCATTTACATTAAATCTTTACAACAGTCCTTAACCTTAACTTAAGGAGACAGAGAGAAAGAAAGAGAGAGAGAGAGAGAGAGAGAGAGTAAGGTACAAATAAAGAAGGTAGATTAAATTAGAAAAGACTTTGTCAAGGTAGAGTTAAAAGAGTCAGTATGTGGTCCGCAGGAAGTTGGCTTGGCCCATTGTGGATGACGTGCAAGTGAACCTACAGGGAATACCACACTTGGACAACCTCTCCTCTCCTTTCTCTCTCCATTTATTTGTCCCCAGGATGAGATCAGTTCACTGCTTTCCATCTGTTCATTTGTTGATTTGTTTGTCCATCATGTGATTATTTTTTTAGACTCTGATAATTTCCAGTTGACTGTTAGCTAAACCCCTCTTGCGAACTGTGAATGTTTTGCAACTGTAAATCGTTGTGGAGTGCATTAATCTATGTGTCTCTGCAAGGTGCCAATGTTAGCATATGTGGCTTAATATCTACAGTAATACCCTACCATTGGTTACCGTACAAGGTGATAGAGTATCATAACATTAGCTGTTATTTTGTGTAGTGACATTTTTGGTCAGATAAACACATCCCACATGTTTATTGTAGCAGAGTTTTGGGATCTGGATTCTGGAGCTGTCCTGTGCTTTTTTAATGAATTGTAGTTTATCAGAGATCAGAGATACATTTTCCAGACTCATCAGTTATACTGATCTCAAATTGTTTGAAAATATTACTAAATAACAATAAAGTATAAATCTACCCTTTGTGTTTTTTATGTTTTCCTTTAAAAGCATCTAAACAGGTTTAGTACAAAGAAATGCATTAAAATTACTATTGTAATTATAATATTACTGCTGTACTATAACCCTAGAGCTAACTAGCTCTACATTACATAAACAATGCTGACGCTTATTTTGATTTTCTACCTAGATCTTCAACTGATAAGCTGAGAACGCTGACCTTTTGCCTGTGATCTGTTAGCTTTAGCCTCAGTCTGTTTTTATATTCAGTCTATGGTTTTGCATCGTTAGATGGTGCAAAGTTAGCATCAACTGGGGGTTTATAAATCCTGTTACTACACTGCTGCAACCTCAAATCGACTTCCCTTCCCACGATCAGGTTCAACCATGATACAGCTGTTGATACAACCATGATACAGCATATGAAGGGGAGGAGAAAGTGGGGAAACTGTAGGGAGGGAAGAAGAGCAACACAGAAGAGAGAAACACAGGAAAAGCAATGACAAAAGAGAGGATTAGCATTAAGGACCCTGATACAAATGGTTGCGACTTTTCTATTTACATACTTACGTATCAGGAGAGCACAAGGAGAAGGAAGCAATGACCCAGTGGCTAAAGAGACCATCCAGCCACAATGTGTCCTGGCAAAGTACCTGTCTAAGGGTGCTTTCACTCCTAACCTGTTTGGTGTGGTTAAAACAAACTTGGGATTGTCCGGTTAGTACAGTTCATTTGGGCTGGTGTAAAAGCTGTTAATCAAACTCTTGTGCAGACCAAACATCTGAATCAAGAC